ATTTTTTGCAATTAACTATTATAGGTTTTTGATCAATCAGGGTCCTTGTATTCTCTTAGTTTTTTTGTAATTAACTATAGGTTTTTGATCAATCAGGGTCCTTGTATTCTCTTAGTTTTTTTGTAATTAACTATAGGTTTTTGATCAATCAGGATCCTTGTATTCTCTTAGTTTTTTTGCAATTAACTATAGGTTTTTGATCAATCAGGGTCGTTTTATTCTCTTAGTTTTTTGTAATTAACTATAGGTTTTTGATCAATCAGGGTCCTTGTATTCTCTTAGTTTTCTGTAATGAAAGGTAGCCGAGGGCACTATGTTAAATTTCTTTGCGGGATTGTTGCTTTTAGTTAGTTACGAACATCTTGAAAAGGTCTCGTGTTTGAGAAATAACAAAAAATTTTGAAATTCATTGGGAATGAGTAGAAAGTATTATTTACTGACAGATAAATGATCTTAAATACTGATTCCATTTTAATTCAGTTGTTATTTAATCAGTAATTGTGTGATTGCATTGGACGTATTTAGAGGTTTTATGACGTATGTCTGCCTCTTGCAGTTAGGAGAAAAGTTCCACTCTCAGTGCCACTGTGATGAAGGTATAATCGACCATTACAATATTAGTGTATGTACACAAATGCATCATCATGAGATAATTTGGTTTTATCAACTGGGTTGACAAATGTGAAGTGGCCACCATACAGTTCTAAAGCTGAGTAAGTTTTTTCAGAGCCCTGACAAAGGCAAACAATTGGAACATCAGCTTTGGAAAATCTCCCTGAAGGCAAATTTACATTATCAACTCAGTTGTAAATACCCCCCACTGAAGCAGCAACACAGTTTCTCTAAAAGCTCTAACCCCCTCTATGCACCTTTATCATATTTGATAATCATCGTATGAATTTTTGAAGTAGTTTTAAGATGTCACTTATTACTCCACTGTGGATTAGTTTTACTGCTCTTACATGTAAAACCTGTTTGTGGTAATACAAAAGTCTTAAACACAAGTTTGTTATACACTGGAGGTGATAAGGAAATGTCACAGGTGTATTTTTAGGTAAATATTGTTCTCTTAAAATATTCCCTTTTCAGTTTCAATTGATTTCAGTTATTGTGCTTATGTTGTACTGGTATGATGAAAGGCTCACAGCACTGTCACAGTGAAAATTCTGGACCATGGAACTTTTGATTTCCTGATCTACAGGACTTGTGTTAGTCAAGAGCTGTTTTCATTCTGTCATTGACAGTTGAAAATACCTGTTGATCTTCCTTATTGTCTTCCTTATTTTTCTCAGTCTGATCCTCAGTTTCCATATTTGTATCCAAAGTGACTACACTACCTTTGCTGTTTTTGTTTTTGTTTTTCACTCCTAAAGTTCTAAGAAATTTTTCTTTCATACAAAACCACTTCAAGCTGACTTTCTCTCAGTAGGAACCAATGTTTTGTGCCTTATTGACAAATCAGTGTTAAGTTTGTGACAAATCAGTGTTTGTTTGATATTCTAACATCAAAACAGTATTTGAACAAGTTCAGTGATTTTATTTTGATGGAAGTGAAATTTCAGCTGATTTTATGTATGGGAGAAAGTGTATCACATCCAAGAAAAAGTCATAAGTTATTTTGTACCAAGGTAAATGGCTGCAATATGCTCTTTAATCAAACTGTAAAGCAAGCTAAGAGTATATGTCAAGATTTAGTAATTTGTTGTCATCTCCTTAACAGGTGATACCTGCTGCCTTAGTAATTAGTAAAAGTCAAAAGTCTAAGGCTTCATTGAAATCAAAGCATAGCTATCCTAACACAGATCTTAAAACAAATTTTTGTTTTGAATTTAATATCATTTTATCCTTTAAATTTGAGGTTTTGTGGACAGTTCTTTCTCCTTGCTAGGTAAGTTTCAATCATATGTTTTTCTTTTACTATGAAATTATTCAAGCAGAGACTATACCATTGTTGTTCTTTTGTTGTGACTTAACCTGTTAACAAAATAGAACATAACCTTGACATTTGAAATTTAGTTTACTTTTCTGAAAATTCATGGCTGCTTTTTAAGCAAATTAGCTGAACAAAGACCAGATCTATGCATTTTTTTTCCTCCTGAAATGCAGACATTAATTTTGTAATAAGGCTTTTCTTTAATTTTTTTTTTATACAATTGAAACTCAAAAATATTCTCATTGTTGGAATTTTAAATTTTATTTAAATAAAAGATACAGGAATAATTTTTTTAAATGTTCAGTGATTATATATACATCTGCAATTTTTAGTAAATGTGGATAAAGTCAACTGTTAAGAATTTTGACCTTCTAATTTATGGAGTATGTTGGAGTGGCTAGAAATGGATAACTTTAGATTTGTGAATTATTGAACAGTTTATTTATAAGGGTGTGGCAGTACCTTTCGTGGTTTTATAGTACTTTAACCAATTGAATAAAGTATCAATCAATATACTGAGATCTACAGTTTGAAGTATGAACATTTATCAACTCTGACCTCTTTAGGGTAGGTGTTGGGTATAAATTCTACTCTTTGGAAATGATTTACTCCACAATGTACTCACAACTAATAGTAAGGTTGAATCAGGGCAGTTGTAGGCCTTTTGATGTATCATTATAATTATGATTGTAGCAAGAAATTCAAGTCAATATCAATTATTAAGTCCCTTTTGATAAGTTTCAATGCTGTTTTAGTCAAACAAGATTGGATGTTTTAGTGAAGCAATGGATTTTCAATTGTATTATGATACTTTTGTTTATTTCACAAGTGTGAATGTGAATGGGGGAGGAATTTGAAGGTGATTTATGTTGCATGCTCATTAAGTTGTTCCAGAATATATGAAAGTTTTGTTGTCATTTTCCTAGGTGCACTTTATTTTGTGTCACAATTTAGTTAAATTCATTTTTCCTCAATCCTGAGTTAACTTTTAACACTCTGATGTTTTTAGTTTCAAAACATGTAGCTCATACATTTCCTCTCATGTTTGTTTGTTAATGATTATTACTTAATAAGTTTCTTATTTCAGTCAGTTTTATTTAACTACATGTATTAGATGTTGTATTTCACACTTCATTGCCATAAGTTGCTGTTGATACCACCAAATTTTTGTCTGCTATTTATGAATTATCTGCTCTCAATGAGTTACCTACAATGGTTATAAGCTAGACCAAAGTAAGCCTTTCTTTATTTTACATTTAAGATATTTCCCCTTTTTTGGTCTGTATCAGTGTTTTATTTCTTGCTTGTAGTTCACTTTATAATCACCTCATTGTTAATTGGGCTAGTGTTAAATTTCCCAGGGACATTTTCTTAGTTTAGTTTCTGCTGTATTTCCTTTAGTTCAAACCACACAAATTTGGCCACATAAATTCAGCCAAACCAATTCAGGTACCACTGTCAATTATAACTTGGCAAACTTCAATCTCTACTTCACCCTTTTCATCTGTGATTACACACCAATCTTTTTATTTCATTTTGTAATTTTGATTTTGTACCGCATTTAATAAAACCATGATTTCTACTGTACATTTGAATTGTCTTTTCCCTTATATTAGTAACCTTTAGAGGTTACAGATATTAGAGTGCATATTCTCCACACTGTTCTCTATTCACTTCCTAAGGTGCTGACAAGAAAAATTTGATTAACAATCAAGAGTTTTTTGATCATTTCCTTTATTCTAGTGACCTTAATCTTTGATTCAGGGGTGATTTTGTGAAGAGAAACTAGGTGCTAGTCGTGTTTGGGGGGGCGGGGGAGGGTGAAACAAATCCACAATTCTTGTGGGCTAATAAAATAAAATGAGTTAATAAAACATTTTGCCAGCCCTAATACATTGGTAATGTGCTTATAAGAACACCTTTTGTTAACCAGGAAAAAATATCTAGTCATTTCAAGTATTTTGATTCTTAAAGTAATTAGTATTTGAAGTGAAATCAGTTTCAGTATGATTTATTGGTCAAAGATGTTTCTATTGAGTAGTTTTCATGCTATGATTTTAATTGAATTACATGCAAGTGTGAAAAAGAGCTGCAGAAATACAGTCTCTAGCTTTTGACTTTTCTTAGGCATATTTTATTTTCCAAATCATGTGTTTGAATATAACTCCGTGGAAACAGTGTTGTTTCCATGGAGCATTGTCATTAATGATAGGTTATCTAAAAACCTGTCCAATCACAAATGTGTTTCACAAAAGTTATTAGTTTTTTGTCTTTCCAGTTTTTTTCCTCAGGAATGCAAATAGGTTTTTTTTTAACAGTCAGGTTATTTGGAGGATTTAGAGAAGAAGTATAACTAGAATACCTGTTCAATGACTTACTTTTGAGTCTATTCATAGCCTTAACATAATTCTGCCATCCTTTCCACATATGTACATGATGACTGTGTTAAATTATTTATGTATGTCTTAAGAGCCCTTTTGGGTCCTAAGTTCATTGCAATTAATTTGGAATATCATTATGATTTCAAATTTTTATTGGTTTATATGATTTTAGGCTGTAGAATTGAACCAGAAAAAGGTTTTTGTGAGTTGTACTTTCCATATCCCAGACTAAACAATAATCTAGAAAAAGAGGAATTATCATTTTTGTTTAATTTCCTTATAGTTTAAATGTTACCTTTATACAAAAAGTTATAATAAATCCAAATACTCTGAGGAAATTTTTTTCTCCAAAGGGGAATCCAGCCACGACACTTTTCTGTTTGTTGTGTTGCA